GATCATGACCTGAGCCAAAATCAGTCACTTAACCGACTGAGCCACCCAGGTGCCCCCTCCTCAACACTTTTTTAAATGTTAAGTAGAATTCATCTCTGAAGCTATCTGGTCCTAGACTTTATTGGAAGTTTTTAATTACTGATTCTATTTCATTGCTCATAATCAGTCTGTTCAAATTTTCTATTTTTTTCCTGATTCAGTTTTGGAAGGTTAGATATGCCTAGGAATTTATCCACTCCTTCTAGGTTATCCAATTTGTTGACATAATTTTTCACAAAATTCTCTTACTTCTGCAGTGTTGGTCATTACCTCTCCTCCTTCATTTCTGATGTTATTTTAGTCTTCTCTCCTTTCTTCTTGACCAGTCTGGTGAAAGGTTTATCAATTTTGTTTATCCTTTCAAAGAACCAGTTCTTGGTTTTATTGATCTTTTCTATTGCTTTTTTTAAAGTCTTTTTTTTTTAATGTTTTTTATTTTATTTCTAGGAGAGAGAGAGACAGCGTGAGCAGGGGAGGGTCAGAGAGAGTGTGTTTCATATTCTGAAACAGGCTCCAGGCTCTGAGCTGGCAGTCAGCACAGAGCCCGACGCGGGGCTCGAACCCACGAACCGCGAGATCATGACCCAAGCGAAAATCGGACGCTTAACCGACTAAGCCACCCAGGCGCCCCTTCTTTTTTTAAAGCCTTAATTTCATTTATTTCTTTTCTAATCTTTACTATTTCTTTCCTTCTACGTGACATACTATATATAGAAAACCCAAAAAATTCCACCTAAAAACTAGTAGAGCTCGTAAATGAATTCAGTAAAGTCACAAGATGCAAAATTAATATACAGAAATCTACTGCATTTCCATACATTAATGACATAGCAGAAAGAAAAAAATTTAAAACAACCCCATTTATAATTGCATCAAAAATAATAAAATACCTAGGCATAAACCAAGGAAGTGAAAGACCTCTACTCCAAAAACTATAAAACACTGATGAAAGAAGTAGATGATAACACAAACAGAAAGATATTCCATGCTCATGGACTGGAAAAACCAATATCGTTAAAATGTCCATACTACCTAAAGCAATCTGCAGATGTAATGCAATCACTGTCAGAAGACCAATAACATTTTTTCACAGAAGTGGAACAAGTAATCCTAAAATTTATATGGAACTATGAAAAAATGCCAAATAGCCAAAGCAGTCTTGAAAAAGAAGAACAAACCTGGAGATATCACAATCCTAAATTTCAAGATACATTGCATTGCTATCGTAATAAGACAGTATGATACTGGCACAAAAACAGATACATAGATCAAGGTAACAGGATACAGAGTCCAGAAATAAATCCATGCTTATCTGATGAACTAATCTACTACAAAAGATGAAAGTGTATACAATGGAGGAAAGACAGTCTCTTCCACAAATGGTATTGGGAGAATTGACAGCTATACACAAAAGGATGAAACTGAACCAATTTCTTACACCATAAATGAAAATAAATTCAAAATGGATTAAAGACCTAAATGAGAGACCTGAAACTATAAAATTCCTAGGAGAAAACATAGGCAGCAATTTCTTTGATATTGGCCATGGAAGCATTTTTCTGGATATGTTTCCTCAGACAAGGGAAACACAAACAAAATTGAACTCTTGGAATATACTAAAATAGAAAGCTTTGTGCAGTGAAGGAAACCATTAATAAAATGGCAAGGCAACCTACTCAATGGGAGAAACTATTTACAAATGGCATATCCAATAAGGGGTTAATATCCAAAGTATAAGAAGAATTTATACAACTCAACATCAAAAACACAAATAATCTGATTTAAAAATAGAAGACATGAATAGATATTTCTTCAAAGAAGACATCCAGATAGCCAACAGACACATGAGAAGATTTTCAGCAACACTAATCATCAGGGAAATGCAAAAAAACCACAGTGAGATATCACTTTACACTGTCAGAATGGCTAAAATAAAAACACAAGAAACAACAAATCTTGGGACTCTCACGCACTGTTGGTAAGGATGCAAATTGGTACAGCCTCTGTGGAAAACAGTATGGAGTTCCTTAAAAAATTAAAAATAGAATTACCATATGATCTGGTAATTTCACTACTGGTTATTTACCCAAGGAAAATGAAAACACTAATTCAAAGGGATATATGCATCCCTATGTTTATTTTAGCATTATTTACAACATCCAAGATATGGAAAAAACCCAACTGTCCGTCGCTAGGTGAAAGGATAAAGAAGAGGTAGTATATATACAATGGAATATTACTCAGCCATAAAGAAGAATGGATCTTGGCATTTGTAACAAATGGATAGACTTAGGTGGGATGATGCTAAGTGAAAGAAGTTAGAGAAATGCAAATACGATTTCACTCATATGGAATTTAAGAAACAAAGCAAATGAACAAAAAAAAACAAAAACAAAACCACAAGCTAATGGTTGCCAGAGGTGAGATGAGTGGAGGGGTAGGTGGAATAAAGCAGATTAAGAGCACACTTATTGTGATGAGCACTGATGTACAGGACCATTGACTCATCATATTATACACCTGAAACTAATATAATACTATATGCTAATTATACTTCAATAAGAAAACAACAAAATAATAAATATATTCTATATCAACAATAGCCACACTATGAAAAGAGCCCAATTGGTCGTTAACTGACAAATGGATAAAGGACATGTGGTATATGAAATGAAAACTAAATCTTGCCATTTGCAACTATGTAGCTAAAGAGTATTATGCTAAGTGAAATAAGTCAGAGGAAAACAAACACATGATTTCACTCGTGTGGCATTTAGGAAACAAAACATGAACATATGAGAAAAGGGAGGAAAAAAGGATAAGGAAGCAAAGCATAAGACACTTCAAAAAAATATTTTGTAATTTATATTTGAGAGAGACCGAGCATGAGTGGGGAGGGCCAGAGAAACAGACAGAATCTGAAGCAGGCTCCAGTCTCCAAGCTGTCAGCACAGAGCCCAATGCGGGGCTCAAACTCATGAGCAGTGAGATCATGACCTTAGCTAAAGTTAGACACTTAACCGACTGAGCCACCCAGGCACCCCAAAGAGACTCTTAATGATAGAGAATAAACAGGGTCGATGGAGGGAGGTGGGTGGGGGATTAAATGTGTGATGGACGTTAAGGAAGATACTTGTTTAGATGAGCACTGGGTATTATATGTAAGTGATGAATCACTGAATTCTACTCCTGAAACCAACATTACACTATATGTTAACTAACTACAATTTGAATAAAAATTAGGGGAAAAAGGCATATTAGGGGCAGGTCTCCCTGCCCCTTATGCACAATAAATAAATACAAAAATAAATAAATGCTGGATAGATATAATTGACTATTTTTTTAAATAATTTTATTTATTTTTGAGAGAGAGAGCACATGAGCTCATGTGGGGAAGGAGCAGAGACAGAGGGAGACACTGAATCCCAAGCAGGCTCCAGGCTCTGAGTGGCTAGCTCAGAGCCTGATGCAGGGCTTGAAACCACAAACCATGAGATCATGACCTGAGCTGCAATCAGATGCTTAATCGACTGGGTGACTGAGCCACCCAGGCGCCCCTTTTTAAAAAATATTTTTTATGTTTATTTATTTTTGAGAGAGAGAGAGAGAGAGTATAATTGACTATTTAAAGTCAAAATAATTAATTGCATTGAAGGGTTTATAAATATATAAGAATATAATGCATGGCAACAATAGCATGAAGCACAGGAGAAGGAAAATGAAAGCATACTCTTGTTAGGTTTTAACATTATATGTAAGGCAGTATAAATTTTGTGACGTTGTAATCTGTGATAAATTGAAAAGATATATCATAAACCCTAGAACAGCCACTGATAAAGTAAACAGAGAAACATTAGCAGCGAACAGCATAGGAGTTCACAGACAAGAAACAGCTGTATAAACTGTAGGAAAGAATGTGACATGGCTTAGGAAAACAGCTAAGAATAATATATTAATATGGCACAAGAGGAAAAATAATTAGGGCAAGAGTGACAGACTTTGTTACATAAAGCTCTAAAATTTTTCACATTGAAAGACTCTACAAAATTGAAACCAAACATCAAGTGGGGGAGGGGGGATCTCCAATATATTCCAGGCAAAGTGTTGATATATATAAAGGGCTATTACAAACCAGTAAGAAAATTATAGGAATTCCAATTTAAAAACAAACAAGAAGCAACTTACAAAGAGGAAATTATGGGCAAAAATATCCTTATCCTAATTCTATGCCCTATATAAGATGCAAAATTAGGTATAGATACATAGATACCTTGTTCCCAAGTATAACTTGAGCTTCATTCTGTGCATTTAGAGGGGTATATTTAATACATGGGAGTTTATCATGTGAAGCTGCCATCAATCAGAATGAGGTGATATTTTACACTTCTTCTACCCCTTATCAGGTAGCCTTTCAAAGTAGAAGTTACTTTTCTATCAAAATAGGAGAGAATATGGCCAGTAGTTGGAACTGTGGCTTATTTTTCAGAGATCAATTCAATGAACTGTAAGATGTAACTACATGATTCTTTTTATGAATTCACAATCTAAGGAAGAAAGATAGTATACATATTTTAACTAACTGAAATTTGCAATAAGACAAGACCATTTACTTTCCAGAATAGAGGAATAATGTTAAGATTAAAACATTAGGGATGGGAGATTAAAAAATAAGAACTGGGGTATCTAAAATCTATTCCACCTTAAATGACAACATGCGCTTGAAAGAGGAAGGAAAGGAAAACATTTCCTCCAGCTTTACTTTCTCCACTTTTGACTGTTATATTCACCTTATAGCCATCCAAAACGATGGCCTCTAAAAAAATTAGCTTAACCCAAATGTAGTTGTAAAAAAATGTATTTCTTTAAAATAAGATCTCCATCACACATGTAAGGTTTATGAAACCACTTTTTAAATAAGCATTGTGAAAATGACTAGTTACGATACATGAATTCATACAAACCTGTAAGACTGCTCTTTGAGGTAACAGTGAAATGTCACATTCACAACTCTTGCCTTCAAAAAAGACATTTGACCGGCTTGGTTCAGGAGAAATGGATTCTTCTTGGGCAGCTTTGAGTTTTAACTTGTTTCTCCATTTTAGCAACTGAAGTTCATGTTTTAACAACTGCCATGAAAATAATTGATAAATTCCATGAATTGTTGTAAAGGTAAAATGAGATGATACATACAAAGCATAGTGTGGGGCACCTGGGTGGCTCAGGCTGTTAAGGTGCTGACTCGATTTCGGCTCAGGCCATGATCTCAAGCTTCATGGGATTGAGCCCATTCTCTCTCCCTCTCTCCCTGCCCTTCCCTGGCTTGCACATGTGCATATGCTCTCTCAAGGTCTCAAAATAAACTTAAAAAAAAAAAAAAAAAAGAAAGCACAGTGCTCGACACCATGATAGCACCAATTAAACATTATTTATTATTACTATCATTGTTATATAAACTATCTTTGCCCATAGCATGTTTAATATTCTCAGGACCACCAAGGCATTAGAGATCATTCCCGTTAGTTGTCAGACAACATTGGCACAGGCAGCAACCTTGAAGATCTGGTCCAGCTCCTCTTTCAGATGAGGAAGCTGAAACCCACAGAGTCAAGATTCTGGTAATGATAGAACGGATATTTGGGGCATCGAAATGAGGTAGTTAGCACAGAGATTTAAAAAAAAAAAAAAAGGAGAGTCAGAAGAAAGCATTGAGGACTTGCTTGATTTATTGTTACAAGAAGTCCCCATTTTAACTCTCAATACATTACTTAAAACTGCATAATCAAGAAAAAGCCATAGGGGCAAATAAATGTTACACAGAATTTTAAAATAGTCATTAGGGTAAATAAATGTTACACACAATTTTGATTATTATTAGTTATTTATATAATTATTACATATTATTATATAGTAGATATTATATATAGTATATATGTGTTATTATATACACCTGCCACCTTCACTTCACCCACCTAAGTGAGTGATTGTTAGGGCAAGAAATCACATAGCAAGAAGAAAATATTTTCTCTAAACACTCAATTAACTATATAATATACATCTATATTAAGAATAATACTATAGTATGTATAATATACATTAACATATATATTAATTGTATCAACTACTACATGCAAAACATCATGCTCAATGTATGCATATGATTAAGAGAACAATACTGCCTCAGAGATGTTCAAGAGGTATGTAAAAGGAGTGATCTAGTCATGTACAGTTACTTACTTCACCATTGGACAGTCATTAATCAGGTGTGGGGGGAGCTAAGATCAAAATACTAGCTTAGTACACAGCATCGAAAAACACTGAACAAGCAGACTGAAAGAGCAGTACCTAAAGTATAACTGTTTAACTGGTAACATTGAAAATGGACTCCACAAAATACTAGAGGACATCCTATAAGAACACCTGTCCAACACCAACAGCTGATAAACTTCCAGAGAGCAAGAACTATACTTTATGAATATCAGTATCCTCTGCAGGCTCTAGCACTGTTTCAAGCATTATGTGAGCAATAAAAATTTTCATACCCTCTCGGGACATATGTAGTATCATCAGTCTCAACATCCGAACTAGTTAGAGGTAGGAGGCGTTGATCCTGCCCTCCACCGTGCAATGACAAAATAGGGAGTTTAATTTCTTATTTTTCTCTTTCGTATTTATTCTAACTTTGTTATTTCAAAGACTATTGATAAAATATTACCTACTGAGTAACATAACTAAAAAATTTCAGCATTTTTCTATGTATGACCCTAATTGTTACTGTGCATATTCTAAAACAACATTAAATAATAATTTACTAATAATTGAAGCAAACTAGAGATATTTTTAAGTTTGGAGGAATTTTCTTGGATCCTCTATTTTAATTGCTTTAATTCCGAGGGGCACCTGGGTGGCTCAGTCAGTTGGGTGTCTGACTTTGGCTCAGGTCATGACCTTATTTCATGGGTTCGAGCCCCACGTCGGGCTCTGTGCTGACAGCTCGGAGCCTGGAGCCTGCTTCAGATTCTGTTTCTCCCTCTCTTTGTGCCCTTCCTCCATTCACACTCTGTTTCTCTCTCTCTCAAAAATAAACAATCATTAAAAAAAATTAATTGCTTTAATTCCTGGGGGGTGTCCCAGTTAAGAATGATCCTTTAACTTTAGCAATTTAGTAATTTTTAAAATTATTTGGTGTTAAAATGATAATTTATTACATTGAACGTTGAAAAAGAAAAAATAACGATTTACTCTTACCTAGCCAAAACGTATTCAGTCTGTATCATATCAAATAGTTTCCCTTCCATTTTAGACATCTATACCCATCTAACCACTTGCTTAAGAAAAATTCTTAGTTTTTATCAATAACTTTAAACAAAATGTTGAAATGATTTTTCTCAGTGTTCATAGTTGAAATGAAATAACAGAATTTATTGGAAAACATTTTTGGTGGCTGAAGTAAAGTTTAAATTATTAAATTACAAGAATAAGGAGCCCATCAAAAGTATGTAATATTCAGGATTTTAGTACTTTCCACACATAGTATCATTATCTGAAGCCACATCAGTGTAATACTAAAATTAAATTTCTAAAAATATTAAGTTTCCAAGATACCATACCAGCTCATCTTCTCTCTTTTCATGCTTATGTCTTGCTTTATCCCTCCATTTATGTAGGAGAGCTATCTGCTTATAACAGTGGCACATCTTTTGTATTTGCAATACTGTATCTAAAGAAAATTTATGAGATTATTGTATATATTTAAAGATATTTCCCCAAAAACCAAAGTGTTTATAATATGAATCAATATTGCATCTGACAGTTTTTGTTTGATTTTAATTACATCTAAAATTAATTACTTTTGATAGCAGTAGATTTTTACTCCCAAGACTAAGAGGAGATCCCTATTTCACACAAATACACACAGGATTTTATTTTAAACACAACTACTTTCTGTTATAATGAAACTCTTTGACACAAATATCTTTAAATATTTTAAATTAGAGGCTTTACATTTCATGACAGTTCTCTAGACATAATAATACATTCTCTAGTACAAACTGCTTGGCTATTAAGTGTGATGATTATTTGCGTACTTGAATACAATAACTAATCATACTATGTAAAGATTTACCTGTGAGCTTTTTTTTTTTATCTTTTACATAAGAGCACCAGGGATGAAATACATATTTTTGAAGTCTAAAATTATTATATTCCTTTGCTCTTTCTATTTTTTTAGCCAGATCGTCCTCTTCATTTGTAAGAGGTATTGCTATGTCTCTCCAAGAGCTAGAGGCAGAAAATATAGAAAAATAGTATTTTGATGTTATGGCAATACATTACTAAATAAACAGGGAAAAGGAGTAATAATACCTCCTTTAGCTCCTCAAAAACCACAGCATAGAAGGAAATTGTTCAGTTATTGTTATTGTTTTATTTCTAGCTAGTCCTTGCATTTCCTTTGAGCTTTCACGTCCCTTTGCTACATTTCTAAAACCCAGAACTACCTGGAATCCAGAAGGTTTTTATGTAACCTATTGAGAGGCAAAACTAGCCCTGACCTTAAGCAATTTTGTATCAGAACATCCCTGGAATTGACACATAACTGTTCATAGTCTTTTTTCATTTAATTTCATGTATATATATATTTCATTATATACACATATAATATATATAGAGAGAGTAGATATACTAATACGTTTGAATATGTTTGGTTCCAATATGCTGCCCCAGGCACCACTGAAGATGTTATATAATACATACAATGTGCAGAAGACAACTTTGTAAAAATTTTTAAGAAAAGAAATATAAATTTCAAAACGTATCTCCTAGGGTTTCAGATGAAGGGATTGTAGACCTTATACTTTCAATTTTAAAGTTTTATTTAAAACACACACACAGAGGCACGCACGCACGCACACACACACACACACACACAACAGGGGCACCTGGGCGGCTCAGTTCATTGAGCATCCAATTTCGGCGATCTCATGGCTCATGGGTTTGAGCCCTGCGTCGGGCTCTGTGCTGACAGCTCAGAGCCTGGAGCCTGCTTCAGATTCTGTCTCCATCTCTCTGCCGCTCCCTACTCATGCTCTGTCTTTCTCTCTCTCAAATATAAAATAAAACATTAAAAAAACCCACACACAACAAAGTAATACCTTGAAGAAGAACATATTTTAACTAAGTAAAAGCCAAGTAAAAAACAAAAGAAATATATAATACAAAATGGTGGAGGCATGATTAAATAGATAGAACTGGCTAAAAATGAGTTGTTCTTCATATGGAGAATATTAAGAATAAAAATATAAAGAAATAGTAGGTAAAAATCACGTTCTTACCAAAAATGTGTCTTTAGTAAATGGCCCGTATAAAAAGTACATGCTTTTATCATCAATTCTGGAGTCATCTAAAATAAATAAATAAATGAAACAACAAACATTAGAAATAAATAGAATGCAAAGGCTAACTGCTGAAGATACACAGGAAATGAGGACAATGGTTGCCTTGGGCAGTAAGGAGACAGGAATGGACTGGAAGAACTAGATGTACACATTTTGGAATGCTATTGTGTTTGCCTATTACGTATATTTTTTAAGTTGAAATCGCAGCTTAAAGTTTCCCCATTATATTGTGTTTATTTTAAAGCATTTTAAGTCTATGGTATTATTGTTGATAGTAGCATAGAGTTGTGGGTCACTATTAAACTGAAAGATTTTGCCTTCTCAAGAATATAAAATGAAATTCATTCCCCCTCCCCCCAAAAAAATGCTTACCAGAATACCTCACCAAACAGGAAGAGGGAAACTACATAAATTAAGATTTCAGAATATACTGAAAGAGATGCAAATTTATTACTTGCAACTATTCACAATTACACACACTTTAACATGTGGGAACACCTAACTGATGATTCCTGAAATTATCTCTACCTTCTGTATCTTCTTTAATGTGTAAAAAGAATTTGATATTAACACATTTGTTATATGTACATGGCTACTATCAAGTGAAAATGGTGTTATTTTTTTCTCATGTTATCACCACCTGTTTGCCATATATATAAACATATAGCTACATCTGTTTGGTATAGAGATAAGCCTGGTTCAAATCTATATGAACTGCCCAGAATTCTGAATTCCACTTTTCAGAGACAAATGTTTTTCTCCTTTGCACATTTCTGTAAATGCTTTATTAAATTCATGGATACAACATATACATACTAATCACAAATTTATTTTAGGCATACGACAAAGGTCCATAGGTCCTCCCCCTAATATTCTGCCTGATGTTCAATGACATTTAGAAACCCTGAGATTGATGGAGATTATATGAAAATTTTGCTTGTGGTGAGAGAGAATATAAATCATTGAAGTCATTCTTTACTAAATTCTGATTTTCACAAGGGAAAGGAATCCAGACGAGTAAAGTAAGAGTGTTGGAGATATCACAGTAGGGTGGATAAAGCCAGGAAAGAATGAGGTGACAGAAGAAAAGACAAATTTCAAAAAAAAAGACAAATTTCATCTACAATTTTTCTGCTCTGCCATTAGCCCCTCAATTTCTTAAGATTAAACTTTTCTTTAGAAGATATAACCTGGGAAGTAATATATAAATATCTACAATAAATGTCACCATTCACTAAAAAATGAGTATATTACATGATCAAATTATAATTCAGCCAGTAAAGCTTGAACTTGAGTTTCCTTTCTAATGATTAACTCTTTAAATCAGCATAAAAATGTCCTTTCTAGTTCTTCCTATTCTATTGTTGAAAGAAGTTGAGGGGCGCCTGGGTGGCTCAGTCGTTTAAGTGTCCGACTTCTGCTCAGGTCATGATCTCAGGATTCATGGGCTCAGGTCATGATCTCATGGTTCGTGGGTTCAAGCACCGTGTTGGGCTCTGTGCTGACAGCCAGCTCAGAGCCTAGAGCCTGTTCCGATTCTGTGTCTCCCTCTCTCTCTGACCCTCCCCTGCTCATGCTGTCTCTCTCTTTCTCTCTCTGTCTCTAATAAATAAATAAAAAACATTAAGAAAGATTTAAAAAGAAGAAGTTGAAGTCCCCATTATTCATGACTTATTAGGCTGGAAAAATCTGACATTCTCATATTCCTTTTAAAGAATTTCTTGTCTTGAATTCTTATTTTCATTTCACAGATACTGTACTCCCAATTAAAAATAAAACAAAACAAAAAAAACACTGATAGAATGAAAATAGCTATAATTTTTCCTAAATGTTGGCATCCTCTTGTTTTTTCCACAGGGAAAATAGCTTGAAGAGAATCTCTCTGAGGTACTGGCCTCTACAAGGACTCAAGCCCAGTTACGCAGAGCTGGGCATGGGTCCGCTCCACTGCGGTACCTCTGGCCAGTGCCTGTAGGCTTGGTCACATGATTCTGCTTCCACTGCTCAATGGTTTCACTGTTGCTCCAGTAACTTGCTTTCTACTTTTTTGTGGGGGGAGGGGGCTGAAATATTTTTATGTATTATTATTTAATTATTATTGGTCTTTAAATATAGTTGACCTTCACTGTTATATTAGTTTCAGGTATATAACAAAGTGATTAAAAAATTTGGGGCGCCTGGGTGGCTTAGTCGGTTAAGCGTCCGACTTTCGCTTAGGTCATGATCTCGCGGTTCGTGGGTTCGATCCCCGCTTCGGGCTCTGTGCTGACTGCCAGCTCAGAGCCTGGAGCCTGTTTCAGAGTCTGTGTCTCCCTCTCTCTCTGACCCTCCCTTGTTCACGCTGTCTCTCTCTATCCTAGAAATAAAATAAAAATATTTATAAAAAAAATTCTATACCTTACTCATTGGTTACCACTAGTTTAGTAAACATCCGTCATCATACAAGATTTTTACAATATTGACTAAATTCCTGATGCTGTACTTTTCCTCTCCTATGACTTATTAATTTTTTTAACTAAAACTTTGTATCTCTTAATCCCCTCTACCATTTCATGTATTTCCCACCCATCTCATCTCTAGTAACCATCAGTTTGTTCTCTGTATAAGTCTGTTTCCGGTTTTTTTGTTCGTTCATTCATTTGTTTTTCAGAGTCCCCATGCAAATGAAATCATACGGCATTTGTCTTTCTCTAACTTATTTCACTTAACATAATACCCTCTAGGTTCATCTATGTTGTTGCAAATGGTAAGATTTCATTCTTTCTAGTGGCTGAATAATATTTCATTGCATACCACCTTTTATTTATCCATTTATCTATTGATGGACATTTGGGTTGCTTCCATATCTTGGCTATTGTAAAAAAATGCTGCAGTAAACACAGGGGTACACATATCTTTTTGAATTAGTGTTTTCATTTTCTTCAGATAAATTCCCAAAAGTGGAATTAATAAATTATATGGTATTTTTATTTTTAATTTTTTTTTAAATTAATGTTTTTTTTTTAATTTATTTCTGAGTGGGAAAGACAGCATGAGCAGGGGAGGGTCAGAGAGAGGGGGAGACATAGAATCTGAAGCAGGCTCCAGGCTCTGAGCTAGCCATCAGCACAGAGCCTGACGCAGGGCTCGAACCCATGAACCATGTGATCATAACCTGAACCGAAGTCGGACGCTTAACAGAATGAGCCACCCAGGCACCCCTTTATTTTTAATTTTTAATGCATGTCCATATTATTTTCCATATTAGTTGTACCAATTTACATTCTCACCAACAGTGTATAAGGGATCCTTTTTCTTCACATCCTCACCAATACTTGTTATTTTTTAATTTTCTTTTAATTCTAGCTGGCCATTCTGATTGATGTGAGGTGATCTCATTGCAGTTTTGATTTGTATTTCCCTGATAATGAGTGATGTTGAGCATCTTTTCATACATCTGATGGCCATCTATATATCTTCTTTAGAAAAATGTCTCTTCAGATTCTCTGCCCATTTTTAATTAGATTATTTGTGGGGTTTTGGTGTTGAGGTGTATAAGTTCTTTGTATATTTTGGATGTTAAGCCCTTATCAGATATATCATTTGCAAATACCTTCTCCCATTCAGTAGGTTGCCTTTTCACCTTATTGTTAGTTTCCTTTGTTTTACAAAACCTTTTTATTTTGACATACTCCTAATAGTTTATTTTTACTTTTCTTTTTCTTGCTTGATGAGACATATCCACACATACGTTGCTAAGGCTGATGTCTGAGAGATTACTGTCTATGTTTTCTCTTAGGAGTTTTATGATGTCAAGTCTCACATGAAGGTTTTTAAGCCATTTTGAGTTTATTTTTGTGACAGATATAAGAAAGTGTGAACGTTCAGTAGCATTCACCTGTAAACAAGTGTTTAATTTTCCTAACTCCATTTGTTGAAGAGACTGTCTTTTCCCCATTGTATATTCCTCCTACTTTGTCAGAGATTAATTGACAATGTAAGTGTGGGTTTATTTCTGGGATCACTATCCTATTCCCTTGATATACGTGTCTTTTTTGTGTCAGCACCATACTGTTTTGGTTACAATAGCTTTGTGGTATATTCTAAAATCTGCGATTGTGATACCTCTAGCTTTGCTCTTTCTCAGGATTGCTTTGGCTATCCAGGGTCTTTGCAGTTCTGTACAATTTTAGTATCATTCTAGTTTTAGTATTATTCTAGTTTTGTAAAAACTGCTGTTTGTATTTTCATAGAGATTGCATTGAATCTGTAGATTGCTTTGGGTATTATGGGTATTTTAACAACATTAAATATTCCAATCCATGAGCATGGTATGTCCTTCCTTTTGTGTCATCTTCAATTTCTTTCATCAATGTCTTATAGTTTTCAGAGTTAGGTCTTTTACCTCCTTGGCTAAGTTTATTCCTAGGTAATTTATTCTTTCGATGCAACTGTAAGTGAAATTTGGGATTTTTAAAAATTTCTTTCTGCTACATTGTTATTAGTGTATAAAAATGCAACAAGTTTCTGTATATTGATTTTCTATTTTGCCACTTTGGTGTATTCACATATTAGTCCTAATAGTATTTCGGTGGAATCTTGGGGTTTTCTGTATATAGTATCATGTCATCTGCAAACAATGACAGTTTTACTCCTTCCTCACCAAGCTGAATGCCTTTTATTTCTTCTTCTTGTCTGATTGCTGTGGCTAGGACTTCCAGTACTCTGTTGAATAAAAGTAGTGAAAGTGGATATCCTTGTCTTCTTCCTTTATCTTAGAGGAAAGGCCTTCAGTTTTCACCACTGAGTATGATGTTAGCTGTGGATTTTTCATACATGGCCTTAATTATGTTGAAGTATGTTTCCTATATATTCACTTTATTGACAGTTTCATCATGCATAGGTGTGTGTTTTGTCAAATACTTCTGCATCTATTGAGATAACCATGTGGTTTTTAATCCTTCTTGTTAATATGATTCAATAAAATTAACTTAATGCACTAGTTTCAAGGAGACATTTTTTTATA